CTTTAATGAGCCTTTGCACTGCCAGAGCAGTGTGAAGGCCTTACTGGAAATGGGAATTAGGCTCTTAGGCTTGGTCTACACTAAACCCCCAAATCGAACTAAGGTATGCAACTTCAGCTACGTGAATAACGTAGCTGAAGTCGACGTACCTTAGTTCGAACTTACCGCCGTCCAGACCCGGCAGGCAGGCTCCCCCGTCGACTCTGCGTACTCCTCGCGGCAAGCAGGATTACCGGAGTCGACGGGGAGCACTTCTGAGTTCGATTTATCGCGTCCAGACTAGACACGATAAATCGAACCCAGAAGTTCGATTGCCTGCCGCCGAACCAGCGCGGTAAGTATAGACAAGCCCCAAGAGCTGTTCGGAATCCCACTGACATCGTTCTTGAGGCTGGTAGATGAACACAGAGAAGGAAATGGAAGGTAGACATGTTACTGAGTCTGATCCTGCAGATCTTCAGTATGTGAGCTGTGCCACTACCTCAGTGGGACTGTACTCATGAAGAAAGGCTGTAGGATCGGGCCCATTGTCTTCTGCTTTATTCTCTTGATTCTTCAGGTGCCCTCAGGGCTGAGGTCATGTCAGGTCACACAGGCACCTTCTTGCAGCTCTGTGTGATCTGTATGTGTTCTTTATTTGTTCAAAATGTGAGTGCCTTTACAGTTTAATCTGCCATTCTCTCCCTCCCCTTCCCCTTGGTGAAGTCTAATTACACTTTTATTCCAGGTCCATCTGGTTGCTAGAAATGCTGGAGATCACCCCTGTGCTCATGCTAATGTTTGCTGTGTATTTTCTAGGCTGGATGCTGAATAATAATATTCCCTAAATTTGCTTTTGCTCCTGTTTCCTCTCCCCAAGTAGCAGACTGTGTAATATGGGATATGAAGTGGGAAATTTACACTCACTGGGCAGATTTTTTTTAAGAGTTCAGGTTTTGAACAAACCTATTTCATGTTTGCACACGAAAACGCTCGCTGTGTTTTTCAGAATGAGGTTTCTTTTCTTGTTTCTCTTTTCAAAGTCCATTCTAACAATTCCCCTCACAGCAACTGTCTGGTGTGTGCTCAGTCGGAAAGTGGGGTTTGCATACTTGTTTGTTCTGCCCAAGGCACGGCCCATAAATGTGAGAGTTCTCTAATCCGGAAGAGTCCATCTGGGCTGCCTTCCAGGGTTCAGAAGGGAACTCCTAGCCAGTGTCTGACCCAGATATTAGTTGTGCCCATAACAATCTCAGCTTCCCAAGCCTGGCTTTTGCAGTGCTAGCAGTGGGATTATTTGTTCTCCCCTCTTTTCTTTCGGCAGTGCTGCCTGGGAACTCAGGCTCACACTTTACCCATGATGTGACTTTCCAGCACTAAGAATAGCAAGCGTAGTGCAACTTAGGTTCAATATCACTGGAAACAAGACACAGCTGGGAATCAGGGAAGTCAGATTAGTCCATCCTTCCACAACCAAAATACATAATAGGAGTACAGGAGTTCCTGTTTGTTTGTTCCTAAAATTGAAGAAAAGGGGGATTATGTAGGAAAGGGGAGCTCTTGGCAAAGATATTTTGCAAATCTTGACGAATTCTCTTGAGGGTAACTGTAAATCTTTGCTCAAGATATTGATTTGAAAAAGAGACAGACAACCAGAAGCTCAGCAGCCAGACTGAATAAGGCCTTTCTGAAAAGGATGCTGGATCCTAGCTCCCCTTACTGCTCAGGATTATTGGGGTGGATGGTAGGCAGTGGAGGCTGGTGCCACCTGACAGTTGGTAGGCAAATTGGACACATAAAGTTGCCCTCAGCATCAATTCACAGAGTGGGTAAAATATCTTAATGTATTTGACTTAAAGCAGCCAGAGCTGAGGACCCTCCACTGGGGTGTGGGGAGGCAATAGGCAGGATCTCATAAAGAGCCTGGAGAATAACACTAACATAAGAACATAAGAGCGGCCATACTGGGTCAGACCAATGGTCCATCTAGCCCAGTATCCTGTCTTCCGACAGTGGCCAATGCCAGGTGCTTCAGAGGGAATGAACAGAACAGGTAACCATCAAGTGATCCATCCTCTATCACCTATTCCCAGCTTCGGGCAAACAGACGTTCGGGACACTTAAGAGCATGATTTTGCATCTCTCTTGCTAAGAGCACCAGTCTGCCTCGATGCCTTGAAGAGAAGATCTAAGGCACAATCAGTAGAAACTGTTGGTGCCTTGCAAATCCACAAAGGGTGTTTGGGCAAAGAACCAAACATAATAAGCAATGAGTTATAAAAGCTCCTTCTAACCCATCTCCTGATTTTATCAGGCCCCTCTTCCTCTTTTCTTAAGAGACACCTGGTCTTTCATAGCCCCAGCACAGTCCATTACAGCCTGAATGTGGATCCAGTGGCCGTTTCTCATTTGCAGCATGGGAGTGAATACTGGAGAGAACCAAGGGTCACCATTCCTTTACCCCTCCCCCCAAAATTACACAACTCAGGAAAACCAGCATAGTGGAAGGTATTAGGTTACTTAGAGAAAGGTGGCTCTGACACCTGAAGGACTCAGTCCTGCAACCCCTACTCACAGAGCAGTCCTTACTCAAGCAGGGAGTCCAACTGGCTTCAATGGTTACGTTGGCTGGAGAAAGGACAGCTCACATAAGGGATGCAAGAACTGGTCTTTGGTCTCGAAACCAGTGCGCAGATTTAAGAGCAAAACTGCTTGAGGTATCAAGGCAATAATTCTAATGGTAATTTTGAACTGTTTTTGTCTGTCTAACATTCCTTTTTAATCCCCATCCTGCCTGCCCCTTCCTTATGTAGGGTTACTTTAGTGATCCTTGGAATGTTTTTGACTTCCTCATCGTAATTGGCAGCATTATAGACGTCATTCTCAGTGAAACTAATGTGAGTATTACTCTACCCTCCCCAGGATACCACCACCACCACCTCCTCCTCCTCCTCCTCCTCTGTTTCCTTCACTCTCTCTTTTTTCTGGTTTTTTTCCCCCCTCTAGTCATGCTTTTATTGAACTTGCCGTCGTCCTTCTCCTTCTCCCAGGGAAAAAAAAAGGAGGGGGAACCGCCTCCTTCTTTTTCACTTGTCATAGCACGCCCCCGGCTGTGACTGGTGAAAGCGCACAGAGTTTGGGGTGTGTGTGCTTTTTTTCCCTCCAAAGAGTAGACATGCTTGAGTGTAACTTTCTAACTAACCAGGCTTTTGTTGATACCCTCCATCATGTGAAACTTTACAGAGGTTTGAGCAGCCAGTACTATAAAGTGGTAAGAGACTATTTAATATGCCCACGTAACCTCTTTCTTTTCTTATTTTTTTCTCTTCTCTCCCTCTTTCATGCTTTTTTTGTTTTTGTTTTATTTTTGTTTTAATATTTTTTACTTTTTTTCCTTTCTTTCTTTCTCTCTCTCTTTCTCTCTCTCTCTCTCTCTCTTTCCTCGGCTTCTCTGCAACATGCAGCACTATTTCTGTGATGCATGGAATACATTTGACGCCTTGATTGTTGTGGGTAGCATTGTTGATATAGCAATCACCGAGGTGAACGTAAGTAGCTGGCGTCTGTCCATGATCGTGCCTGCTCTAACATTCATTTGTCTTTCCCGGTTTTCTTTTCGTTTCTTTTTTTCCCTCCCCCCCTTTTTAAAGATTGTTTTTTGTTGTTTTGAAAATTTGTTTTATTTTTTGTTTTCTTTTGTTTTTACTTTTGGAACGACTTAGAGAACTTTTTGACTGTTGCATCATTTTATTTCCCTCATAATCAGCCTGGCATGAGTAAAACTGTATAGCAGGAAAATCAATGGGAAATGTGGAGTGTAAGTGAGAGTGAGATTTGTGCCATGGGAAGTTGCTGGAGTAGTCCCAGCCCAGGACTTTCCATGGCATTGTGATACTTTCCACTCCACAGAGATCTAAAGGCAACTCTTTCGAGGTGGAACTGTGGGAACCAAACTTAAAATCTTTTGTGTGGATGCCCCTTGGTTTTCCTCCAAAAAAATCCCAGCACCCCAGTAGCCACAGAGAAACCTGTCCCTACTTTTCCATTTTCATTTGAGATCAAGTAAAGTGGGTTAAAAAAAATCTATTATTTTACAGGGTAGTTTCCCTCCATGCCTTGGTTCCCCCACCACTCCAAAAAAATCCATAGAAAATGTACATGATCATGTCTCATTCGATTTCCCACTGGACACATTTACACATCACAAAATCCACCAGCACAATTGGCACTAATTGGCACCACTTCTGGTTATCTCAGCAGGCAGGCCAAGGATTGAATGGCCCCTGGAGACTGAAATGAGTAGCATTAGGTTTATAAAGAATATATTTCACTAGCAAACTTTATAGTTTTTTTGATGGGACAGGATAGAATTATAGAATTAGTGGATGAAGGAAAGGTAGGAGGTATAGTACATTATATTTAGATTTGAGGTAAGCATTTGATACTTTAGGCTAGCTCTTACTGAAATCAATGCAAAACTCCCATAGACATCAGTGGGACAAGAATCCCAATAAATCATATTTGGAAACTTAAATCAAAATGACTTGGACATGAGCACAATCATGGGGATTGAAATCTGGCTAAAAGACCATAAAAATAGCCTGGTCTATCAAGTTGGGAGGAGGGCTCTCAGGGTACCACAGGTTTACCCTTATTTAATGTCTTCATCAATGATCTGGAAGAGGGAGTAATGCATTAATGAAATGTGCAAATACACTAAATGAGAGTGAGTTAAAAAAACAGGACAGAAATATAATACAAAGGGACTTAAAAAGTATAGAAACATGGACAAAAAGATAACAATGAAATTCAGTTTAGAGAAACCTGAGAAGTAGAAATACTGCAAAAAGGTGTTACTGGATAGCAAATTGGACATGAATTTGCATTGTGACATGGCAGCAGAAAAGGCCAATGCAGTTTTGGGTTGTATATGTACAGTAGAGGTATCATATCATGCAGCAGAGAAGTAATAGTGCCCTGCTGTAACTTTACCTGGGATGCTGCATTAGGTTTTGGGCACCCCACTACTAGAAAGATATTGACAAATCATAGAATCATAGAATATCAGGGTTGGAAGGGACCTCAGGAGGTCATCTAGTCCAACCCCCTGCTCAAAGCAGGACCAATTCCCAACTAAATCATCCCAGCCAGGGCTTTGTCAATTCTGACCTTAAAAACCTCTAAAGAAGGAGATTCCACCACCTCCCTAGGTAACTCATTCCAGTGCTTCACCACCCTCCTACTGAAAAAGTTTTTCCTAATATCCAACCTAAACCTACCCAA